CCTTTAATTCTGTCATCCTGAAATGGGCACAGCATCCTGGGAATCCCAGATTGGCTGAACGGACAGTGCATGGGGATTGTATTCCACTGGATTTTCACATGATACGAGAAAGTGCAAGAGAAAGTATCTACCTTAGAATCCATTTCTACCTTGTTATTATTTTTAGCTACATTCATGGTTAATTTGGTTTAGTTTTTTTTTTTTTTTCAATTTCATAAAACACCGAATGTTTAAGCCACTACAATCCTCTGGAATCTAGCTCCATCTTTCTCTCTCTGTGTCAGAGCCCTCAGCAGAGCACAGGTCTTGGCTGCTCTGCTGTTTTCCTCAGTCTCAGGCCCAGCCAGAGGCATCAGCTGCAACTTGCTGTTCTGATTCTTCAACCTCTTCCTCTCACACAGGGCAGGCTGTACTGTTCTTCTCCCCAGACAGCAGTGCAGGAGGGCAGCTGGGCCTACTCAGGCAGGGAGGTTTGTGTTCAGGGCTGTAGCACATTGCGAGGAGCATGTGTACCTTGATAACAGTAATAAATTCCAGAATCTTCTGGTTCCACTTTGCTGATTTTGAGTGTGAAATCTGTCCCTGACCCACTGCCACTGAATCTCCCTGGAGTCCAAGATTCCCGATTGGAAACCCAATAAATCATTCCTCGTGGAGCCTGGCCTGGTTTGTGGACAACCCAATGCAAATAGGTGTTTCCATCACTGTCCAGGAGGCTCTGACTGGACTTGCAGGAGATGGAGGCCAGCTCTCCAGGTGTGATAGACAGGGAAAGTGGGGTCTGGGACAACAAAACATCTCCCTTGGATGCTAAAAGTATAAAGGAGAAATGCAACATCACATACAAACATGATGCATTTTTATTCTTTTCTCTTTTTTTCAAATATCAAACTTAACTTTTTCGTATTTTAATATACAATGAACATTTCAATTTTGAGATAACTCCAATATCTAATAACGAGAATCCCTCTAGAATTCATCTCCTTATCCATATCTTTCTTTGTTACAATATTTATCAGTTGACTATTCCTGATTCTTTAGAAATTTTCTTCTTAATTCCCTGATGGAAATTCACACAGCCCTGCTTCAAGTCCGCGTTGCACATCTCATGTATGAACAGAACTCACCCAGGGAGCGGTGGGATCCAGAAATTCACCCTCTTGTCCCCTGCCCTTCCACATCTCCCGGTATCCGTACCAGTGACCCAGAGCAGTAGCAGCCCCAGGAGCTGAAGTGGTAGCTTCATTTTGAGAAACTGAACTGAAGAGTCCTGATCAGGCAAGGCACAGCTAGAGCCAGCTTTTATCTGAAACTTGCCTGGGTAGGTCCTCCCTGGGGATAAAATGCAAATTCCCTGGTGGGTGCAGTGGTGCAGAAAGAGTGAAGAGCATTGTGGGAGGCTTTTCATGTGAGCCCAGTGGTATAAATCGTCCTCTGTATCTGGGGGAAACAATAGAGCTAAAGTCCATGCTGTGTGCAGCATTGGGTACAAGGCTCCCTCGGAAAATCTACATCTGCAGCAAGGATACAGTGCTCAGGGCTCTGTCCATCCAGACAGTACTGCAGACCCCAGGATATGAGGGGTTTACAGATCAGTCTCTGGGAAGGATAGTCTCATGCTCTTTACCCTCCTTGAAGGGAAAGACGCAATTCTTTCTTCATAAGAACTCATTTTAAATTTTTCTATCATTAATATCAAGTAGCAGAGCTGTGAAGTCCTTCTAGCCAGGTAAATGCTCATCATCTCGAAAAAAGATGAAAAACAATCTTTGTCTTCACCTAGAAATTAAATAGCATAAAAGCACTAAATCGAACGGAATGTGTATGGAGAAAAAATATCTGTCTTCCAGTTAGCAACCAGTAACTCTGTTGAAGGCAAGACTAATAGGAAAAAAATATGCCTTATATAGTGCACATAAAATTCTTCATAAGTAGATTTGGAAATTAGTAAATATCTAGTCATGTTTCTCTCTCTCTCTCTGTAGATATATATATGTTTATATATTATGATATCTATCTATCTATCTATTTGTCTAATTTATTAAAACTTCTTTTTAAAATTTTATTTAAAGAAAGGCTAAACAAAACCGAAAATAGGTAGAAATAATATATACGTTCAGAGGAAAAAATAAACAGCAAGAAATCACTTGTTGATGTTTACATATTGTCATGTTACAAATAGTTGTTCAAGATACAAAAATGGAACATGTAAAGTGGGAATTCAAATAGCGATACTGAAAACAGTTCTGTTCAACTGTCCAACAAAAGCTTAGTAACATGGTGGTCAGTCCTATACACTTAAACATACATGCAGTTATCCATATCTTCATTTATGCTTAGACTAAACAAAATAAAGCAGGTTAATGCCATTCTGAATAAGGAATAATAGTATTGCTGGATTTCACATTATGATACTCCGTGATCAGCACGGTACTGTAGTGTCTTTTTTTTTAATTATAATTTAAAGAAAGACTAAACAAAACAGAAAATGGGTGGAAATCATATATAATTTCATAGAAAAAATAAAAGAGTAAGAAATCACTAGTTGATGATTGTGTCTTACAAATAGTTATTTAAGATACTAAAGTAGATCATATAAAGCGGGGATTCAAACAGTGAGATTGAAGCATTTCTGTTCAACTATCAAACAAAAACTTAGAAACATGATTAATTAGTCTTATACACTCACATGCAGTCAGCCATACCTTCAATTATGTTGAGATTTAATAAAACCAAACAGGCTAATTTCACTCTGAACAAAGAATAATATTATTCCTGAGTCTCGCATTATGACACTCCAGGATCAGCACTGAGAAATTTTGTGTCTCTTTTTCTTCAAAATATCTGTTCATTTCATCATGTGTCATAAGATAAGTTCACATAAACTGTTTATAGATTCTAAACATGCATGATTCTTAACATGTATTCCTATCTTTTCAATATTAGAGGGAGAAATAAAACAAAGCAATTTAAAACATACATATTGCTATAAACACATGAAATGAAAGAAACATATAAGACCATTGTACAAAAGTTCTACCATGGTTCCTGTGTTGCCTCTTGCTGTCTCCAATAGAGTTGGCTATATCATTAGACCTAGTATAATTGTATATATCAGTACATAACAGTATTAATAAAAACATAACTTTGTACATAGTATAGAACTTCAAAAAGTGGCATTTATCAAACCAGAATGCGTATCGTAGAGTCTTGTCATCTTCAGTGTAGCTGCTTAGACTCCCAGACTTGATATTATCAATCATATCAGTTTTGAATAAAATCTTCTCTGCCTCATTTCTGTTATGCTTTTTTTTGCCATCAGTTGTCTGCTTATCTTCTTCCTTCTGTTTTCTGCTCCATTCATTGAAGGCTCTCTTTCATTATTCCTGGAATCCTAGTACTTTTCTCTCTCTGTAGAATGCCCTTCAGTATTCTCTGTAGAGTTGGATTGGTGCTTGTGAGCTTCCAAGTTTCTCTTTGTCTGGGAAGCATCGTGTTTCTCCATTAATTTCTAGAGACAGTTTAGAAGGGTGTATCAATCTGGGATGGAGGTTATTTTCTTTCAGGACTTGGAATATTTTGCTCCATGCTCTTCTTAACTTGATGTTTCATGTCAAGAAGTCTGCCATTGTTCTGATGGGCCTTCCTTTATAGGTTATCTGTTTCTTGTCTGTAACAGCTTTTAATATTCTATTCTTATACTGAATTTCTGGGATCTTGATTATTATATGCCTGGGTGTAGCTCTCTTTTGGGTGTATGTGGCTATAGTTCTGTATGCCTCATATATCAGAATATCATATCCTTTTCCTATGTTTGGGAAATTTTCCTGAATTATTTCTGTGAATAACTCACATTCTTTATTCTCAAGTTATAGATCCTCTTGTTGTGTTCTAGCCTTTGTATTGTTATTTCTTGCTTCCTTGTATTTTTAAAAAGTTTTCCCTTTCATAATCCCACATTAAAATATTGTCCTCCAGTTCAGATACTCTATCCTTAGTTTCTTACAAGCTGATTTGCATCTTTCCATAGAGTTTTTAATTTCCTGGTAATCTCTTTCAATGTGCTTCATATATTCTATTTTTTATGTTCTTTATCAAATGGTTCTCTCCTTTGTTTGTGTTCTTCCCTTCTTCTATCTGTGTCTGCTTGAGGGGTGCTTAATATCTCTTTTATTAGTCTTCTTACATCTTGCTTTACTTGGCTAAATATTTCACTTTTGAACTCGTCTATGAGGTCCTGAATATGTCTCTTTATGTCTACTGGCACCGTGTGTGATATTGCATGTTTGATGTTCTCATTTCCCTTAGTATTTACCCTTCCTGGATCAGTGTTCTCAGGGTTGGGACCTGGGGACTTTTTGTTGTTGCTTCCTCTTCCCATATTTTTTACTTCTTCCAGGAGGCCCCAGTTTCTTTCTTTGTTGGTTGCAATTCTTCTGAAATGCACTTGTTAGATGACCCTTCCCACTGCTGTGTGCTAGTGAGTTGCACACGGGGACAGCGTATGCTGGCCCTTCCCCTCTGGGTCATTCATGCTCCTGTGGCCTGCACTGTATTACTTTGCACTGCCTCCCCTTCAGGTCAGTCAAGCTGCTGTAGCCTGCACTGTATTACCCTGTGCTGCCTCCGCCTAGGTCAGTCATGCTGCTGTGGCCTGAACTGCATATTACTTTGCGCCGCCTCCCCTCTGGGTCAGTCAAACTTCTGAGGCTCCACTGGGTTAGTGTGGTTAGTGTGCACCACCACTGTAAGGACTTGATTTCAGATAACTTATTGGGTCTCAGCCAGATCATGTGACCCAGGCCTAGCTCACTCCAACAATCCTGTTCGGCAAGAGAACAACTGACTGAAGTCACTGCTGCCCCTTGTACTTGCCAGTCCTGCACAGCCCCAGAATGTCATCTGCTGGAGCCCCCTTTGTATGCAATGGCTCCCCTCCTGTCACTCACCACAGGTTGATGTAGGTACCCTGTCTACTCAGCTCTCTGTTCAGTTCACCGACCCCCAAACTCAATGTAAGTGTGCCTCCAGTGAGTCAAAGCAGTGGGACCTTGGACAGCTCAGCAAGTCGTGGTGGGACCCTGGATGTTTGGTAAGTCGCCTGCTGCAGCGGGAACACTGAACCTTTACTGTTCCAATAATAGCACCGGGATTGTATGTTTGGTTGGTTCATCTCAACTCAATTTCTTCTTGGGACAAGAGAATTCATCTCCTTCTATTTGGGACTCCACACACTGTATTATGTTGAATTCTAAGTTGACTATCTCAGGGAGCATCTGTAGCCAGTTGTTATCTATCTGCCATCTTTGCTCCTTCCCCTCAATCAAAACTTTTTTAAGAAAAAAATTTCTCTTGACTTTATATAAAGTGAATAAGGAATAATATATTATGCTACTCTTTTCTGAGTAATCATAAATCATCTTTTTCATTTCTACTTTTATAACAGATACAGAGCAGCCATGGTCCATAGTTTAAAGGGACATTCTAAATATTAGAATGGCACTATTGAATCTGATTTTTAATGTGCCAGTGTAATTAAAATCAGTGGCTGATATTTCCTGGACTTATGTAAGATGGTCACTGTGGAAAGAAGGTCACTTTCAGACTTTTCCTAAAACCATGAGAAAACGAAGCCATACTGATACCAGTCTGTAAGTACATGGTATGCTTTATGACAGCTCAAGAGCTGCAGTGTATCCTTACATATCTGAGAAACTGAGTTTATGGGAAAATAAGCGAATAAGGATTTTGTAATGTGTGCTTTTATCGTAAATAAAAGGATCTCTAGATGTGCTCATCATCATCATCATCATCATCATCATCATCATCATCTCTCTCTCTCTCTCTCTTTCTCTCTCTCTCTCTCTCTCTCTCTCTCTCTCTCTCTCTCTCTGTGTGTGTGTGTGTGTGTGTGTGTGTGTGTTTGTGCATTGGGGCTTAAGCCTGGGACATTCACAATTAGCCACACCAGTCTGTTTCATTTCCCAGATTTTGAGACTGCATCTCACTGTGCTGTTCACTCGCCCAGCTTCATCTCCAACTGTCTATTCTCCTGCCTCAGCCACCACTGTGTTGTGGTTACAAGTGTGCACCAAGTGTCTTGGATGATTTTACCTTCTGAGTGTGTGTGTTATTTCTGAATACTTCAAGAGGTGGAAAAGTTCACTTATTGGACCTGTCTGGACTCTTAAGGCCCTGTTCCTCATCTGTCTCACAGGAATCAGCAGTAAGTGAAACAGAAGAAAATAATTTCATCTCATCCAAATCCTGTGTATTTGGGGGAAAAGCAATAGAGAAAATGTCTAAGTGGCATCCATCTCGGGAGCAAGGATTCCATTGTTACAGGCTGAGTCTCTATTGGAAGACAGTGCAAAGTTCTCTTCCCCAGTAGGAGAAACCACCCCGACATCACAATTACTGCTCATCAGAGCAACTTTCTGCTAGTAACACTGTGGATCGAGGAAACATTTCTAGCAACTGTCATTTCCAAGTGAACTACTTTGATGTTAGAAAATGTGTTCCCCCGTAAGCTTCCTGGCCAGTGATTAATCTCCATAAGGGCACTGCTTTCAAAAGGATTGGAAGGAAGATTTTAAAAAATGCTTAGTTTAGCTAGGGAAGTAGGTGTCCTGTTGAAGACAAGTGGAGAAGGGGAAAATGATTGTGCCTTAGCTAATAAGTATGCAGTTCCTGAGCGGTGGTGAATATACTGTCCTAGCTATCTCCACATGGAGATATTAACTGTAAGTCTGAATACATGTTAACATATTTATGTGTGTATTATAAATATTTATGTGCAGAAATGTATCCATATATAAGTATTTATATATTAATTTGTATTTATATACACACATGAGTGAATACACACCTATAAATGTGTACATATAGCTATATATAAATGCATATGTGTACATACTTATTAAGTTAATTAAAATTGTTCTTAGGGAAGTGAGTCCTTTAAAATCTATTTTTGTTTGGGGCATTTGAGTCAGGTTCTCACTTTGTAGTTTAGGCTGGCCTTGAGTTCACTGTGTTGCCCAGGCTAGGATCAAGCAGGTCAGCCACTCATCCTGGTTCCATCAGAAACTGTTGGCTTGCTGCACAGATAGCTTAGAGTTTGGGGTCTCTCTTCAGTTCATTGAATGTGGGTCTGGAAGAGATTTCACTGTTGCCATCATTAACTTCTAATTTGAAGATATGGCACATAATGACTGTCAAGAATGTTGTAGTGATTCTCCATATGTGACTCACCCTGGAGGACAAACTCATTTTAGTGTCTGTCTTGCTGTTTGCTGACCATGTGACACAGGAGTTGCACTCTCTTTGTCTACATAAAGAGTCTGCCCATTCCTCCTGATAAGAAAGGTGACAGCGTTCAGCAGAAAATTAAATGATTGGTGTCCCTTACATCCTTTATTATGGAAGAGTCTTACAGGAAAACTCAGTAAAGACATTCACATTACTTTTTTATTTGTACAGTAAGACTTTGTATGCAATTATGTCTTGAACATTCAAAAGTCATCATTTTACAGTTCTGGAGGTCATAAGTACATCTCAGTCCTTAGTGTGATAGAGCCAGGATGCTGTCAGGATGAACTCACTCTGGACGATCTAGAAGGGAATCTGTGATTCTTCAGCTCCTAGAGGTGTGCCTGAGACTGTGTCCCTTACCTTTCCATCTGTCAGAATTTTATCTCCCGGCCCCTGTCTAGGCTGCTCCTGTGTGTGCTGCCTCCTTGTGTGCTTTCCAGATGTCAGCACTGAAGATCCTCAGTCCACAGGAATTAAGGGTTCCCCAGATATTCTACTTCACAGTCAGTTAATTTCAAATTCAGTTCATTAAAAGAAGTCTGTTTCTGAAGAAGAAAAACTTGCAATGTGCTAACTAATTCCATTCATGCATCCACTTTCAAATGGAAATAAGCACTGACTGTTCTTTGAAGCATAGAAGCGATGAAGATGAGTCTCATGGACCACTTGTAATTGTTGAAGTTCTGCACTGGATCTTCAAGTTGTCTCTCTATGAAGTGGCCTTTCTTTACTTGCTTGGTATGCAGGTGTTTACTGCGATAACAGACATGTTGAATGGTATCAGGTAAAGCACCTGGTGATGTGGGTGGTGCCATGCACAGATGTAATGGGGATGCACCAAGATGAGAGCTTCACCTACACTTGAGAAACCCACAGAATTATGAAAACAAGAATAATTGATATATATTCTACAAAGCTTAAAACAACCTTTTCTATAGAGAAAAACAACAATTCAAATAGTTTGTGATGTTCTCATTACAGGAAAGCTGCATATGAACATGTGAAACATCCAGAGAGTTTATGCAGGGGTAGGCAAGCAGTGAGTCTTAGGTGTGTTTGTGGTGAGTGAACAGAGTGCACCCTGGAATGTCTAAGGATGCTGGACCTGCTCTAAAGACCAAATAGGTTTTTGAAGATGTGTGTGTGTGTGTGTGTGTGTGTGTGTGTGTGTGTGTGTATGTATGTATGTATCAAAATCAATAGAAATATGTCCTGAAATGTTTACTTTTCATAAACATAAATTTTAATACTACATAACTATCCTAAAAGGAAAAAAAGTCCCATGACCGTGGATATGCTCTAACACTGAGCTTCTTGGACCCCAGTGCAAAGAAAGTAAAGTATTATGTTATAGATTTCTCATTTGTGGAAGAATTCCTGTTCTTAAATCTGGCTCATTGTTTTTGTAGTGCAAAATTTTGAGGATCATGTTTCTCTCAGGGAATTGCATGGGAGTGTTAAGAACTGAGTTGAGTAATAGTCTTAACTATAATTTCGTAGACAATGCAAAAGTAAGATCTACATGGTATTTTGCTCTACAGTTGGAGACAGTGCATACACAGTGTTAAATGGTGAGACTGGAATATGGACCTGAGCTCATGTGCAAAATCTCATCAGTGGACAGAGTGTGGTCTCCCAACAATGAGCCCTAATGTCACTTGATTTGTGGACTTCCTAAGCCTCGGGTGATGTGAAGGTCCTGAACCTGTCTGAGAGCTGATTAGAGCATTTCAAGAGCTGAAGTCTTCATTTGCTGGCAAAAAACTTAACAATCCTGATGCGTGAATGCTTGAGGGTATCTTTCTCTGGCCAGAGGTTTTCTTCCCAATGGAGGAGGTATGGAGGAGATCTCATCAGATGCAGCATGACATCCCCAGCTGTTCATCTTAGCCATCCTGTGTAAGTCAAGGAATTGTCCCCAGTGCTGTGATTTTTCATTTGAATGTATGAATGATCCATCTCTCATATGAAACACAAAATAATGATAATAAAAATAATTCACCCAAAATAAAGAAATACATGAAATCAGCTATGTTCTTAAAGTTTTCAGTGATTTATTGCTGTGGTCCCCAAGACCCAAGCCTGGTTGCCATCCTTGGCTGCTGAGTTTCGAATCTGGTACAGAACCCTGAACACTCCTCATGTCCTGATCCATGTCCACAGATTCAGAGGAGACTGGTCTGGTGATGGATGAAGATGGGAGCTTTCTTCTATCTGTTTCTTCTGTTTGTGGATATTTAAGAGTGAAGCCAGGCTCTCAGGATCCTAATGAAGCACTCTGCCACTGAGCTAAACCTGCAGTCTTGGAATTGGGACTTTTCTGAGCTCTGCAAAGAGTTCCTGTGTGGTCTGCCCTGCCTGCTCTCTACTGACTAACTGTACATCTTACCAGACCTGCTTTCTCCCAATGTCTGTTCCCTTGGCCTGCTTTTTACCCATGGATTGCTGAATTCTTCTCCTCCTCACTTCCTTGCCAGGTACCATTGCCCCTGCTCAGCAGGCTCCCCATTGTGACTCTGACCCTGATGAGAGTGTGGTGGCTCTTTCACTTAGAAGGTGGTATCTGGAAGTGGAGCATTTAATCATGACCGTTGTGATCAGGTGCTGGGTTGAGAGCAGGAGTATAAGCGGATATCACAAGATCATTAGCCCACATTAGACACTGGGTTTTGTGTAACATGGAGAATGGTTTGTGTTCTGTACTTGGCTGGGGTAGGGTTGTGTGTGAGGTTGGATTCTTATGACTAGAAGAGCATGTGAGGAAGACAACAGAAAGGATCTTGCACAAAAACTGTTCTGTGTGAGCCTGTTTTCAATAATTGGACAGATTAAATGTACAGAGCTTCCTCAAATATCTGTGCTTGGTGGAAAGACAGCCTGTTTAACAGATAGCATTAGGAAAACTGGCTACACAGTGAGAATATTCAGCCTAAACCTGTATTTCTCATCATACAGTAAAATATAATAAATATGAATCAAAAGCCTGGACTTTAATACAGAAGCACTTAATCTTCAGGTAGATAATAATATAGATAAAATTTTGAGGGCATAAGAATAAATAAAGCCTTTTTGAACAGAACCCCAGTGTACCAGAAATAACATCAAGAAACAACAAATTAAATTATATTAAATTAAAATGCTTCTGTGTAGTTAAAGATGCAGCTGAAAGAGTGAAAAAACAAAATGTAGAACGAGGAGAATTCTTTGCCCCATGCTCATTAGGAAGGAGATTAATACTGACAACATGTAAAGAACTCTAAAATAAACAGACCTCCTAAATAAGAGTCAATCAAAAATGGGTAAATGAAAGGGCCAGAGAGTTTTTAGAAAAAGAATAATAAGTTTTTAGAAGAAGAACAATAAGTTATTAGAAGAAGAAGAATAAATGGTAAATATATAAAGAAATTTTCAGTATTACCAGCTCTGAGAAAAATGCAAATTAAAACAACAGTGAGGTTACATTTTCTCACAGGAAAAATGGCCACCCTATAGAAATCAAATAACACGAAATATTGGTGAGGCTGTGGGGAAAAATACACTCTTCTGTTTGGTTGGTAGAGATGGAAACTAGTACAACCAGCATGGATCTCTATATGCAGAGCCTGCAAAAACCTAAAAATAGAAATTCAGCTTGACTCCACTCTTCTGGTTCTAGTTATTTTCCACAAAGGGTTCAGGACATCTAATTACAATGATTCATTCACAGCCATGTTCAGAGCAGCACAACTTATAAGCACTCAATATTGGATGCAGCTCATAACTATGGACAGATGAATGGATATAAAGAAATGTACTTACACAGTGGAGTACTCCCGAGCCATAAAAATGAATGAGTCATTTGTACGAAAATGAATGCAGCTTGAGACCCTTATGTTAGATGAAATATATCAACACACAACCGTACATATCCCATTGTTTCTCTTAGATGTGAAATCCAAAGTATTAATAGATTAAATAGCAAAATAAGACAGATAATACAAAATAAGCTGCTAAATGCTCTGCAAATTGATAGGGAAACTAGAGAGACAGGGAAGAGAAGATAAAGGTTGCAAGAGGAATTAAAAATAATTAAAATGTGTTATGTACATAATGCCAACTACCCACACTGTACATAGAAGTACAGCAAGTGCACATTAATAAACATAACATATGACAATACAAGCTTAGACCTAAAAACATTCCACAAAGTGTTTAATGTTCTACCTATTAAATCACATACTTATTTTCTTGATCCTGGCTTGATGACCCGGTGTATAGGAGAGTGTAAGTGCTACCCAGGCGGAGGGGATACCAGGAAGCAGGAAAGGATGGCGACAAAATAAGGATCATTCAACTTCTCTCATGTCAACCCCAATATGTGATGAGGCAGAGTCACAATTTAGATGCTCACCTTTGCCTTGCTACATTGATGAGAGAGATGTCACAGGACTAAAGTTTCTTTTAGCCAGGATCTTTAATCACCATGGAGTCAGTAAGACTAAGATCCCTTCAAGAAGCATCACTTCTCGATGATCCATGGAGTCTCAGGAGCTCACTATTGCCAGCCCTCAACTTTGCTATTCTGAGATGCAGAAAGCTCTCCAGGAGCTGCAGACAGGCTGAGAGAAGCATGGTCACCATATACCCATTGGATTATCATGTGGCATAAAGAAGGTGCAATATCGATTATAAATCATGAGACACTACAATTTAATAGTCATTTTAGGCTAAATTTATTGTGTGTCTTGTTTGGCTTTATCCATTTTCTTTAAAAAAAATACCCAGAAATTTGAGGGCTCAAAGGAACCCCTGGAAGAGAGTTTCAGCCTTCTCTCTGTGTCAGAGGCCTCAGCAGAGCACAGGTTTTGGCTGCTCTGCTGTTTTCCTCACTCTCAGACCTGGGCAGAGGCCTCAGCTGCAACTTATTGTTCTGATTCTTCAGTCTCTTCCTCTCATGCAGAGCAGCCTGTGCTGTGGGTCTCCCCAGGCAGGGAGCTTTGTGTTTGGTGCTCTAGCACTGTGGGATGAATATATAAATCTTGCATACAATAATAAACCCCATCATCCTCAGCCTCCACCCTGCTGATATTCAGTGTGAAATCTGTTCCTGACCCACTGCCACTGAACCTGTCTGGGGTCCAGGATAACTTTTTGGAAAACAAAAAAATTATACACCTTGGAGCCTGGCCTGGCTTGTGCACCACCCAATTCAAATAGGTGTTTCCATCACTATGTAGGAGGCTCTGATTGAACCTGCAGGAGATGGAGGTTAGCTCTCCAGGGCCACAGACACAGAGAGTGGGGTCTGGGTCATGACAACATCTCCTGTGGATCCTAAAATGATGAAGGAGAAGTGAAATATCAGGAAGGAACATTACGAGCCATTTTGATAGATTTCTGTTTTCTCATTATCAAGTGAAGTTAGTATCTTTATTTTAAAGTGCAGTGGAAAATTTTCAAATTTGAGATTGTATCCAAGGTTTTTAATCACAAGGTTCCCTCTAGAATTCATCTGTGCACCCCTCTCTTTCTTTGAGGCAATCTTCATGAGAGGCCTGGTCCTCAGTCCTTCAGGAATTTCCTTCCCTCACTGATCTAAACTCACACTCCCATGCTTCAAGTCAGGGATGTGCATCTCATGTATGTACTGAACTTAGCCAGGCAGCAGATGAACCCCAAAACTCACCCCCTCTCTCCATGCCCCTCCTCATCTCCTGGTGTCCTTACCAATGATCCAGAGCAGTAGCAGCCCCAGGAGCTGAAGAGGGAGCCTCATTATGAGAATTGGGACTGAAGCATCCTAATCAGGTAAGGCAAAGCTAGAGCCAGATTTTATGTGAGACTTGCCAGGGAATGTCCTCCCTGGGGCAAAATGAAAATTCCCTGGTGGGTGCAGTGGTGCAGAAAGAGTGAAGAGCATGGGGGGAGGCTTCTCATGTGAGCCCAGTGGTATAAAATCTCTTCTGTATTTGGAGGAAAACAATAGAGCTACAGTCCATGCTGTGTGCAGCAGTGGGTACAAGGAATTCTTGGAAAACCTGTGTCTCCATAAGGGACACAGTGTTTAGGGCCGTGCCCATTCCAGACAGGACTGTGGTCCCCAGGATACAGAGATATGTGCAGATCACTCTCTGGGAGGGGAAAATTCATGTTTCTTAGCCTGCATCTTTTGTCCATGCGGATGTGCAGTTGAGATCTGTTTGTGATGAGGTAAGCCTAAGCAAAAAGTGCTTCAGGGAACCTGCAAAATATACGAGGTGCCAGATCTGTCCTGTACCTGAAATACAGGTGTAAATATACAGCTGTGATTTCCAAACCTAGAATAAGCTAAGGGGAACCTGCCCTCACTGATGATTACCTTGGCGATGACCTGTGTGGTGCACAAGATGATTCCTCACCATTCTCTTGGCTGATTGCTGTTCTGTTATGGCAAGCAAAGCAGCAATAGGCAGATTGGGACAGTCAGATTTTGAGTGTGTGCGTGTGTGTGTGTGTGTGTGTGTGTGTGTCTGTGTGTCTGTGTAGTTTTTATTTTCAAGATAACATGGTAGAGAAGATTGAGGATAGTGTGTGGTGACTGTAAGACAGAAATTGTTTGAAATATCTGGAAACTATCACTCCAGTGATGATAAAGAACACACATTTATAGCATGTGATACCTTCCTGTGGCCACTTGGAATCCCTTCCCATCCTCTCTCCCATATGGTTCTTCGCCTTTTCTCAATATGAGGAAGGTGCAGCCTTTCTGCACATAGTCTTTTCCTTGTTTGAAGGCCAAATACAATCAGTGTGACCTTGTCAATGATAGGGAAAAGACACAGCCCAGCACCTCAGTCCACACCATGTGAGAGAGTGCACTTGTGCTGGACTCAGGAATGAACCACTTGAAACTTCCAGCTGAACTGAGTTGCATGGCTCTGGGTGCGGCACACCTAACTGAGGATTATTACCAACAACATCAAAGCAGAACTAAAGGGGAAAATGCTGTTTTTCTCCTGGTGAAGGTTTTCACACTGGATTTCCTGATACGAACTCACTTGTCCTCATTGTTAGAGGAGCTCCTGTCCTCCCTGTCACTGAGGACAGCTGTGGTTCTTTTCAAGGGAACTGGGTCTTTCCCCTCAGTGTGGCTTCCTGGCTCCAGTGCAGAGGCCCACATCTGCTGGCATTGGTCCTTCACCCTTCTGGGTAAGTCTTTCTGGTTTCCACCACTGATCTTTGGGCTACTGAGTGCAGATCCTTGATGCAGACTTGTATGATGTATTGTCATGTCCTCTAAGCATTAGCTGGATATGAGTGGACTCTGTCATGGGCTCTAGGTATATAACTGGACAGGTGGAGAGCATTGCTGTGAGACCCAGCCCTTAGCTGGGTTCTATGCATGTCTAGTGTGTGGATGGATCTCCTGCATAGTTTTTCATTTGAAACTTTGGGTGCATATGATAAAATATTGCTGTAAATTATGTGTCCTGTGTTAATTCCTTTGCTTTGCAGACCCTGAGAATTACACCAACTTTTATTGTCTATATAAAAGCCTAAAGCCAGCTGGGTAGACTGGCACATTCCTATAATTCCATTTGGGTTTTGGGGCTACTTGGAGAAATTAAGAAGATTATTTTGAAAAATATTAGAAAACACTGAGGCTGTCAGTCAGGGTGAGTACATTTACCTAAGCTTACTGGAGGCTCTGGACTCCATGCCCACGACCAACAAAGATTTGTAAAGTCTTATCTCTCACCATGGTCCCTCAGTAGGCAGATTATTAGCTTCACAGTGAAGAAATATGGGTGTCATCAAATCCTTCACTCAGCAAGTGAGTATACTTGCTGAGGATAACTCAATAACACTTTGAGTATTTTCATCCACTTATTTGGATCAAAGGAAAAATTTTGAATTTCTTGTAATAAAAGACAAACACCTGACATCCTAAATGCCATTTAAAGTAAGTCAGGCAGTTCTACTCTAAAAAGATCAGAAGACTTATCTACAATTGTCTTGCTTTTCTTAATAAAACGGAAAACTATTTTACAAAGTTAAACTGTGCAGAACAAATTTCTTTTGGAATTTTCTGGGGGCGCACATTATGGTAACTGCCACCTCCATCCAAAAATTTTAGCACTCAAAATGAAAATTCTAGTTGTTTACACATTTTTAAAAATTCATTGCTTGAATTAGTTTTTCCAACTCCCAATTCTGGTTGGAGCATGTTGCTATGTGTATTTTTTACTGTTTTCATTCATACTTGAATTATGAATTTTTTGGTCTTTGTTGATATAAGATTTTGCTGTGCAGTTCAGGTTGGCCTGGAACTCATTTTGTGGTCTAGGATGACTTAGAACTTGCAGTGACCCTACTGCCTCAGCCTCTCAAATGCTGTTTTATAGGCAGTTGCTCCAACACCTGGCTCAAATTTTGAATATCGACAATTTCTGACCTTGTGGTCTTTTGTTCTTAAAGTATTATCTATAAACTATTTACATTGTGAGTTATCACTGAATGATGCCAACTATTGCCCATCATTGTTTCTTTTTGTGTCACTAATCCATTTATTTTTTCCCTTTTGATTTATTTTTAATTTCTTGTGTTGCTGGTTTGCTGGTCATGAATTCCCTTAATGACTCCTTGTCATGGAACTTCTGTATTTTTTCCTAAACATGGAAATATATTTTGGTAGGATATTATAATGTGCATTGAAATGCTTTTGAACTTGATAACTCCTCTAGCCTCTCCTGGCTTTAAAATTTATTTTAAGAAATCTGCTGTTGTTCTGATAGGTTTATCTTTTGAAGTTACTTGATATTTCTCTCTAGGGGTTTTTAGTATTCTTTCTTTGTTCTGATTTTCTTTGATTTTTTCTATAATGTGTTGTGGAGAGATTCCTTTGTGAACGTATCTCCTTGGGGTTTTAAATGCCTCATTATCTGGATGTTCATTTCAGTGTCTAGATTTGAAAATTTTCTGCAATAATTTTGGGGAAAAATATTTAGAACTTTCCTTTGTTTCTTCAGTCTTTTATTGACTTCTGTACTGCTCAGGTTGTGTCTTTAGAGTCATTGATGAACTCTAAGATCGATTTTTCATCATTTCTTTTGTTACAAGAAGAATCCCTGAGATATCTACTACACCCTTCCTGTCCTGAAGTTCTGGTACTTTCTCTTCTAATTGGTCATGTATTCTGGCACGGTGCTCAGCTGTGCTTTTCATTTCCAGGAACTGTGCTTTCTTCATTTTTACAACCATCAATTATTTCCTAGGTCATTAATTCATATTCTGAATTGTCTTGTGGCATTCAGTCAGCTGTCTGTGTCTTCTTGAAGGCTGCCAAATATCTTATTAATTAAAATGTTCAGCTTGTTTACATCCTGTTTGAGCTCACTGAACATGGTATGCATTTTCTTCTTTGATTTCTCCAAACATTTGACCATTTGGTTTCTGAGTTGCTTCCTGGACACTTTCTCCACTTTATTGACTGCCAGATAGATTTTTAGGAGTTACATCCTTTTTAGGCATCTTATTGAGTTACTTGTTCTATATTCCTGTTTTTATCATAAATGTTGTAGATCAGTTGGGCTAGAAACTTCTGCTGTTAGAGATAACCAACAGCAAACTGCAAAGAGAAGAGTTTCTGGTAATATCTACCTGAAAAGAACATTAAAGAGTTTGAGAAACAGTGGCATTAGGTCCTCTCTAATTTTTTTATACAATTCAGTGTGAACCATATGGGCTTTCAGATTTATTTACTTGTAGGTCTTTAATTACATCTTCAATTTCATCAACTGAAATTGATTTATTTAATATTCATATCTTGTTGATTCAGCTTTGGTAATTGCTATATCAAGAAATCTGTGTATTTCTACTCCATTTTCCATTTTACTGGCATGTAAGCTGTTGAAAGAGGTATGG